ATATGAAAGCGGATAGCAATACCCATAATGTACAAACAATGAATGGAATAGAATTAAGGTTTTTCCCGTTTTCTAAGGTGCACAACGACGAGTTCGCGTTGTACCTTGTGTACACGTAGGCTAGGGAGTACTCTGTGTAGGTCTTGTTTTCACAGTAAACTTGCTCGAGATGGCGCAGATTGGTCGTTGATGATTGAATCCATTCTGTCAGCCAGGCCATAGAGCAGTCGCACCGAATAGGGTTCCCCTAGAATTTGACATAGATCAGTTGGTGTAGCAATATTTTTAGAAACTCACAGTTAAATCAATAGCCTCCAATATGGTACCATGTTGATTTATCCATGGCTGAACCGTGTTTTTAAACGGTTGGATTCTTCGAATCTCGTTGAATGGTAGAGACAAAGTGAGGAAATAGACACCACCCAGTGTTGTGAATAGAGAATTAGGGAAGTCTTGCAAGGAAGTGTTGATCAGTGACAAATGCACTTTATATCCTCTCAACGCATGAACTGCTGTCGAGCTTATCTGAAAGTAGTAAGTAAACACTTAACGTGTTCCATTGCAATTTGTGTGTATTACATTTGTGATGCTCTTCCCAGTAATTGTCAGCTGCCTCATATGTGTCATATCAACATCATGCAATTGGCTGTCGAATACAGGATCCCGCAGTTCTATATAGAGTGATCGCAGTGGAGGGAGATGTTGAAGGATGTGTGTTATATTGTATTTCAAGGTGGCATTCGCAAGGTTATACATCTGAATTTGTTTCATTTTGTCGAACTAGCATAGTATCGAAAAAGAATCAACTGTTTACTATTAAACTGCGAAGGTTCGCCAGATGAGAATACTCGGAAGGATTGGGTAGTTGCAATAGTGATGGAAGGTCGTGCATTGACAATACTTCAAGCTTAAATATCAAGTGTATCCCTCATAGTCGATGTATTTTGTGATAACAGTCCTGCTCATGCTCTCTTCCACTCAATACATCATCCTACCTGGTATAAAGGTTGAAAGTGTCTTCCCATAATTTCTGTTATTGGGTTCATGCTTATGTTCAGCTCTTTGAGATTGACTAAATCTTCAAACACATCATCCTCAAGTCTTTGGAGGTTATTTCCCGACAGATCAAGAGAATTCAACTGCGCTGTTCTCTTCATGTCCATCCTGGATATCTCGTAGATTTTGTTCCTGCAACATGTTTATTGTTCACCTGCTGTTTTCCTTTTTGTCGAAATGGTCCTGACCAGCAATCTGGGCTAAAAGGTTTTAATGGTATATTCGAATCGTAGTTTAGGGAAACTTAGAATGAATCTATCGTACATCTTCTCCATAGTTTCTGTCTTCTTCTTTGCTAAAGCTCCTAACTCTCACTGAGTTGACCGCTAAGTCACCAAATTCTTTCTTCCATGTTAGATGGGTTTCCTTGAAGCAAACCCTTGAGTGGTGGACTTACATGCTCAGATTAAAGTGACGTATGGCGTGATGGTCCATTCTTGGCAC